AAAAAAAAAAAAAAAAAACACGAAGCAGAAAGCAAAAGCCAGCAGCAACAAGCAGAAAGCAATAACCAGAAACGCAGGAGAAAACACAACAAAAACCTAAAAAAACATGCACACGCGCACACTTAAACAACAGGCCTCCCTGCCAATTCTGGCAGCCCGGCCGCAACATTGCTCGCTCATATAGCCACTTCTAGCTACATGAACCACCAATGACGCCCTGTTACCCGGCAGCATCCCGGTGTTGAAGTTGCGTACACAACAACGGAGCCCGGAAAGAAAAGAAGTCCCGGTTGTGGGAACCCCTGGTTTGCTCCATTCGCTCGCTAGCTACTGCACGGTCAAAATTTTTGCTGCAACGTTACATTACCCCATTAACCTCAAATTCCAGCCCTCAAATTCCATCCAGGATGCGCTTCAGCGCCACGCGAGAGGCCAGTTCCCTCATGTCAGTTGTCAGCTTCAGATTGGAGCTGCAGGGAGGTCATATGAAGTCATAGCAAAGCAGACAATCATGAGCATGCTCTACACTGCGGTTTCCGAATCATCTTCACACCCACTCGCATCACCACTTCGCTGCCGAGGTGCAGTGAAGGCAGTGTGGCACGCTAGCGCCAGGAGGGCCGGAACAGCCAACAGCCATCTGAAGTGTCGACCTTAGCAGCAAAGGCATGGAGACAGATAGGGGTCGGGCTTGGGAATGGGACCTGGTCTGCACTGGAGATAGGACTTCTTCCTGGACTTGTTTGTCCAAAGCGTCGTAGATCCGAAGAGGGTGCGTTGGCCACTGCACGTGATGTCTTCCATTTTCACAGCTACGGACTTGGCATCAACCAACGACTTTGTGGACCCGAGGGGCTTTGTCTCACAACAAGCAACCTTCTGCAAGATCAATCCGCAAGTTGTCAGAACCCCAAGGCAAGCAAACGCAAAGCAGCGCTGGGAAGCAAAGGACCCGACTCTGGAAGCGCTGTCGCATTGCTGTACGTCCTCAAGTGGGATGATGAAGGATTGTAGGTAGAGGATTCACGCCTCCTCTAATTTGAAGGTCTTCAGGGGATCCTCACTGCAAAACATCACACCCGCCTACGTCTTGCACTTTTCAGGTCCATGGTTGCGGTGCTTATGCCCGCAGAAAGATGCACGCCAGTACGCGACGGTGCCCATATTTGCTCAAATTGCAGGCGTCTACATCCCCGGCAGGGTAACCAACGCGTCCAAAAGCTCAAACATAGTCAGATAGTCAAAGGTGTACAACGTGTACGAGGTGCATGCATGAATTGAAGTTCCTGTTCCTGGCTGAAGGACCCACACGTTTGGACTATTTCGGCAAGTGCTGCATGTCTACCCACCCACTGAGGTTGCGACAAGCTGCCGCGGATGCTCGGTAGACCATGCAAACTACGGACTGGCTGAGTACGTGCTCGAAGGGGCGCATGTATGGTTGCTAAAGCTGACTGCCTGAGAAATACCAGCTGCATTTTTGTAAAACCAATGAAAATATTGATCAAAGCCATAAAACAATGATCGCCGCGCTCTTATTATAGTAGCTCCTACAAATGATAACTAAATCAGCTTTATGTAACCGTGGTTCTGCCAGAACTGGATCCAAACAACAAAGATTGGCTTCCGAGCCCATGTTGACATGATCGGTGGAGAGTTGTTCGAAGAATGTGGAAGCTCCAGCATTTGCGTCGTCATGTCTGAGCCATGCTCTGCAGAGAAGGAAACATGACCTGTGCGAAATAGGACAGCCAGTTCAACATCTCAGCGGCATCGCAAAAGAAGGAAATGTAGGAACCACTCCCCGTAATCCCCATTGACCACCTCAGGGTCAGGGATTACGAACTCTCCAAGGTATCTACCGCGAAAGCCAACTTACGCAGCAAGGCCAAAAAGTCATGGCAAGCCTGCACGCAAGGGCCACGGCTGTAGGAGTTCTGATTAACCCCGACCCCCTGAGATTGAATACTCCCATTGTGGTACATTATAATGCACCGCGAATGTTTAAGATTAGGGGTGGGGGTTAATCCCTGTTGTTAGGTTGAGTGTTGTACGGTTAAGGGCTTAGGACTGCATCAGAAGCTGATCCCCAAACCCGGCTTGCAAACCTGCGAAGCCGCGGGAGCCTCCACAGCCTCGTAGAACTCATCAAGATCTCTGGGCCTTCCATGGTGACGCCGCTCAGGCTAGGGTTCAGGGTTTAAGCTTTAGAGGAGGGTCTAGAGCAGACATCCTGGTTCAGCAATAGTAATGGTCACACCCCTGAAGATCCCTGCCTCACAATGCCGTCAGTTTGCTCCTCCATTGGTGCACTGGCTGGCGCCTGCAACCACGAGCTCCAGAAACTGATAATAACTGGGTTGCTGTTAAGGAATTTAAATTAAGTTACCATAATGGGTGTATATAGTACTTAATAGGGTTTCCCCAATATAGTGACCCAGATAACTGTTGCATTGACCAGGGCCTGTTGTTTTGCAAGCAGCCCACAAGTTCAGCTACCAACCACCCTGGCACTACAGTTTCTCCGTCAGCGTTGAAAGAAGTATCTTGAAGAACCACAGGGCCCGGCAGAATTCCTATGTTCCTATCCAATTTTTTTTTTCCTGCATTGGGCCCTGGAGATAAGTTCAACCGTCCTTTTGCAGCCCTGAGACACGGCCACCAAGGGATCAATGACCACATTCTTAGCAAGAAACGCACCGCGCACTTTTTTGCCCGAATTGGTCAGGCAGCAACTGATGGGTAGATAATCCGCGGCCACAAATGCTAAGTCAAAGGGCACTGAGCCTGGTCGTTGAAACGAGCACTGGCCGTGCTTTCGCGGCCTTTAACGGTTTTCTGGCCTTTGGTTAGCTAGGAATGAAGGAATGGATCCTTATAGTCGCCCGTATATAACCCACTATAGTAGTTCCCATGTTCTTTTGCATTCCTTCTTTCCCAGCTAACCAAAGGCCAGTCTTGCTGAGGTCGGCCTTTGAGCTGTGCCTGTTGCAGACTCTGCAGCATCAAATTCACGGGAAATCCATTAACAACGCCCGGTGCTCCTCATTTGCATATGAGCTATAGTCTAAACTCCATGAAGGGGGTTACACAGGGGACTACTACAGGGGTTAGTGAGGATGCAAGCGTCAGGACCTTCTGGATTTAAGGAGGCATATCCATGTAGCAAGGGACTGGCCACTATGTTGGTATGCAAGGAGAGGAGCACGCCCAGCTGACGCCAGCCCAAACGGCTTTCACAGGAGCTGAGCAAAAGTCACCATGCTATCCTTTGCGGAAGCTGAAGGGACAGGAAGAGGCTGCTCACCTGGCGCAGGGATTGCAGTCTACATTGTGGGGGATTGTGTAGGGGTTATGATGTATGTCGGGGAATGGAAAAACAGAAAGCTACTAGGATTACACATATGATTTCAAGACCTGGGGGAACGTGATGTTGCTAGTAGGCGCAATAGGGTTTGAGACTGTGGATTACTAGAGGATTACAACACTGATTAGGCTGGGCAGCTAAGATGGTCTCTTCACTTTAGCTTCTTCGACCCTACCACCCCGAATGACAACTCCCCAGATCCAGGGCACCTCTTCCAGCCGCAAAAGCAGCCCAGATCCTGCTGGCAATACCAATGAGACAAAGATTGCCGTACGTAACAATGAGTTGTACAAGAAAAGTGGAGCTAAAGTTCAAAGTATGAGCGGATTAGGCCAACATATTCGAAAATTCATAGCGTTCTCCCTTTCTAGAGAGGGTGTTCTCTAGTACGGGTCCTTTCTAGTACCGGTGCTTTAGCGCTAATGGGTCAGCATGTTCCCGACCAATGAACACCGTTTACCTGCCTTGCTGAATCCTTGAAAAACCGCCTGCGAAAACCTCCGCCTGCCGTATGCCAGTGTGCCCCGGCTGGGGTGGCCATCTATCTGTTTTTTTTGAACAGCTGATCAAGCACTGGAAATCTTTCTCTGCAAGGAAGGAACACCCCGTCCTGCATAGTTGTCTATGCACCCACGGGCGCTTTCTCCCGGAGGCTTCGCATGTGCTCTTTGTACTTGCCTTATAAGTCTCGGGGTCGGGCGGCGTCGTGGGCTTTTGATTGGAGGCCTGAAACTATCATGGGACGCCCAAAATTCCCTGCGCAGTATACTTCCTCCAGAAAAGGGAAGCGCATTCCAGAATCATTGCTGTCGCGGAATTTGGCCATGGGTTTTGCTGGTCAGGCCTGTAATCCTCTAACCGTAACCTCCCAAGAGTCACATTATGGGAGGCATCATGCAACCAGCCAGTCTACACAGAGAGCCTCTAACTTGCTATCCTTCCTTGCAACATTTTGATACCACCCACTGTCTGATATGCTCCAGAAGCCTTTGCTCGACGCTCGACACCGAAGAACCCTAGAATCCCTGACAAAAGAGGCCAATACGTTCAGTTTCTAGTCCCGTGAAAGAACCGCTTGTGAGCTGATAGTGTCGGCCAAGCTGCTGCTGATCTCCTGCAGCTTCTGCCTGGGCTTCACAAGGTCGGGACCAGCGGCAGACGTTGCAGGATTCACGGCTTGGCGGATGTTGGGAGTGCTATAGTGGTTTCCATTTTCTTTTATCCCCATATAAACCCCAATATACTATAGTAGTTTCCATTTTCTTTTCCATTATCCCATGTGGTTGCGAGCTTGGCTTTGAGACTTTCAGATAGCTTCTGAGCACTTGGGATGTTCGCTGAAGCAATAATGGCCAAGTTATGCAAGAAGACTCAGAGTGCTTACACGTGCTCGGCCGCTATGCCAGGCTTGTTTCGAAGGGCTTTGTTGACCATACCTGCAAAATCCTCAAATCTGCACTGCATCAACCTGAGCGCAAACCCGTGACCTGACCGACTTCCACAAGCCCATCATTAAACTCAACAGCTCCTGAACCACCAATCTCGGCCAAAGCAGCTGTCCCCGCGCCTTTTCTGCACTCCACTTTGCGGCATCAGCGCCGTTGCCCGCCTTACGATACCACACGTGACTAAGGACAAGCCACTGCAAATTCAGGGCACCGCGGCCTAACCACTTGGATCTTGTGTCAAGCTTTTCCCGCATTGCTCGAGCAAGTGCTCAATAACAACCACGGCTCAAACTTTCTGTAGCTTTGTTGGCATCTATCGACATGCAATCCTAGTACTTTTCTCTTGGTCTGAAGAACCTAGATCCTGCAAAAGGCCAGTAAATGATCATCACGGACATCCCCAGGGCCTGCTACATTCCACAAAAGACTCAAAAACCTGCAACGCATTGTATCAAAGAACCCTGCCATCTCCCCGGCATGGGCACCCAAACAAGGACCACAATTGGAAACAAGCTCGTTCCCTCAACCCCTTCTAATTCCAAAATCACCTTTTAACTCCGCAATGCCAGTATGGAAGGAAGGGATAAATCCTGCAGTCGTCCCTATAGGATCCCCTAGAAAATCCCTCTATCTCATTCCATCTTTCCCCACTACCTACATCCTCACAAAATGGCGGCCTCCAGAGCTTCACCCTCCGCGGTCATCGCGTCTGAGATGGCTGTCAGCCTGCTTTGGGCCCAAGTTGGGCAATTCAAAATCTGCGGTACCTACATGGAACCCCCAAGATGCTAGAAGCCTTACCTGAGTAGCTGGAGAAGGATGTACATCCTTTTGGTTCTTGACGGAGGTTTCTCGAATCTGTAGGTTGATTGCTTTACGCGTCCCAGAAAGTTTTACCCCCAGTCAGTCACCAGAAGCTCATATATGCAGATGCAAAGCAACGTCCAGGCGCCCTGTTGGAGTGTACATGCAACACTCAGCACACTGACATGGGCTCTTTCAAGCCGAGGTCCGGACACGGGGTTGGACTCATCCAGTTGCGAGGTGAAAGAATCCACCATGCTCGCATAGTATCTGCGGAAGGTTCAAGGTCTTTGGTTTGAAGATACAACAATGTCCAGGTCTTGTGACCGTCTGATGGCACAGGGACACACTCCCTAAATGTCAGCAGTCCAGAATCTCCATATTGTATGAACATTAAGGTCTCTCAGCACTCCCAGTCAAACAGGACATGTTCCTAGCGCCTCTTTGGCCGTTAGCAAGCCGCAACAGCCTTCAAGACCCCGCATTTCATCTCCGTACAACCCCTTCACTCCTTGAACACCTGATTGCACGAAAGGAAGCTCCTGAGGGCATATGGAGCCCTGCTCCCTAACCCCCACACGTCCAAACCCCAAACCCATCACCCCAACACCCACTCCCCTACTCCAAACTCAGAGAAGCCCTCCCAAAACACGGGCCTCGCCAGACCAGGGTTGCCAGCTGCTTCGGCTTCGGCTCTCGCTTTTGTTGCCTTGGAAACCTGGCACTCAAGGGTCCTTTTCAAGGGGCCCTATGTGAACTTAGGACTTGGGGTTTAGGACCTTCAGGTTTGGACTGAGATAAAAACACTCAGTTTATGACATTGAGGTTGTAATCGTGTAAAGGTGTCCAGGCGCTTTGTGTCGCGAGGTCGTTACATTCTTTCATTCGCATAACCAATAAATAACGTGCCACTGTGAGTCTCTCTACGGGATAGGAACTCGATAAACCCGAACAAGGAGCGAGACAACAAAAACACTGGATGACAGGGAACCCACACGGAACATTGAACTCGCCTTTAGTACCTTTAGAAGTCGAAGTCTAGGGTTTAAGCCTTGTAGGTGCAATCCCATAGCTGGGCACGGTTGAAACCTGGGTGGCTCGCCTTGACTGTCAAGGAATATGACACACAGAGCTTGAGGAAAACTACTTGACTAAGCTTACTTCTAATCTCTCCCAAGCTATACTTACAGCTTCCGTGGAGCAGAGCAAAATCTTGAATCTCAATTTTGGGCTAGGGGAGTATGTGCTCACCAAACGATTTGACTGAGAGGCTCCCAGCACAAGCAAAGTGTCAACCTCCTTATGCTTCCAAGACATTCCAAGCCATTTAAAGGCTAGAAAGTCTGCTGGCCTCAATGGAAAGGAAGAGTGTGAGGAAGTTGCGGATCCCGAAGCCACCTTGGATGGATCTACAGAAGGTCAGAGTAGGGATGTGCCTAACTTTGGGATCCTTTCATGTGTGCTCGCATGCAAAGCAGGGATCCTGCCTGTTGGCCAACCTGTTCGAATGCTTACTTGCGGCATGCACACAAACAAAAACGATGCATGGTCATGTTGCCTGCTTGAGTGTTGATCGCCCTCTTGGGCCGTCAATGAACCGGGAAGCATACAACGTGGAGATCCGTTCCAAATATTTCTGACCAAAGGCAGTTGTAAAGGTTAGGTCTGTTTCGTGGACGTGCGATGTCATCTTCAATGGCGGAAGACGACCCAGTGGCCTTCGGACGAGCCAAAGGACAAACTCCCCACGGGCTCACGTTGTGGGCTCACGGAAGAAGGAAATTTGAAATGCATCTCAGCCACCACAACCAGCTTTGATGGGTCGTGGCTCTCCACTGACCTGGGAAGCAAAGCAGGAATCTCGTCCCCTCAACAAGCAATGTTTTCGGAGGTTCCTAGAATGAAGTAGGCCGCACTTTTCCGTGAGAACTGTCCGGCTCTTCTCTACAATGAGCAGTCAGGTGGTGGGTTTGGGCACATGTTCAGGTCGAGGAGCCCTGATCTCTTCAGGCATTAGGCCTTTGCCTGGATGATACTGAAGAGGCGAGGATCCTACCATTTAAAAGACCCTTGGCCTGCTGGGATTCAATCAATGCCGTCATCCTACTTAGGTAAGGGTTGCAACGGAACTGCAACCCTCTAACCCTCACCTACAGCTACTGTAAGCTGGGTGAAGACAAGTGGCTGGATCCTTGCGGTCGGAGCATACACGCCTGGGTTGGGTAGCTGCGGGCTAACCAGCCTGCATCCACATTCGGGACCATTCCAGATCCGTCTTCCAGCTGCATTCAAACATTCCGCAATCCATTGGGGCAGCCATTTGATCCAAAGCTCCTGAAACCTCATTCTCCTTTGTGCCAGGGCACTGGATGAACTCAAGGAAAGGTGCCTCCTCACCTGGGGCTCTCTGCAGAATGCTGGAGGTGAAGATCTGCATCAGTAGGTCTTCTCCCTGAACCTCAGATCATGATGATGAAGGATTGCCCTGAAGGAGTCCAGCACGGTGAACAAGCCACGCGGCATACTATTTTCTTTTGCAAGTGGTTGTATCTACCACCTTCTTTCTGTCATTCTGAGGGTTGTTACTGCTACACCTACTGGTAAAGTCACACATGGCAACATCTGCCAGGGAGCATCGACCAGGACGTTGTTCCTGACAATGCGGAGGTATGTCTCCTTCCAGAATTTGAAGGGTGCTGATTGAGGCCCTGGCAGGGCTGGGGGCTGTATGGGTTTGCCTTGGCCCTACTGCATCCCAACCATTCACCTCTTAACCCCTGAGTGAAGGTCTCTCGGCCCCAAACCTAAGCCCCTGAACCCCTGAACCCATTATCCCTAAACCCTCCTCGCCAATGTTGTCCCGCAAGAGTGCGTATAGGTTGCCATACCGGGCCCGCAGAACGTGACTGACCACAGCCTCTCCCCAAGAACAGCTGTCGGGGCGCTGGGCTCGGCATCTTGGGGTTTTTTACAAGTAATACAGTAATAATTGTAAAAGTAATTGCAAAATAATTGTAATAGCAAATGTAAGAATAAGTGTAGGTATCAATCGTAATAACAAAAGCAATACTTATCACGTTGTGCAAGTAACGGTGATGACAGGATAGCACCAGTAATAAGGATGGTCTGTGTAGTTTGGCGAAGGTTTGGACTTTGGACATTGCGTGCTTGGCTGATGCTTGAAAAGTTGCATGGTGTGAAGGTTAAGGCAGAGAGTGCGATGTGAGGAGCTTGCGAGACTTTCATGTCCCGTAAGCTCTCTAAGGGCGTGTCTTCAAAAACGACAGCCTCGACAGCGCAAATACAGCACGAGCGCAAAGAGATCTATTTACAACTGTTCCCCTCTTTATGCTACAGGTCAAACATGTTACCTTGACCTGTGATGACATGAGGGAATGCCCATTAGAGTGACAAAGGCCACTGCAAAGCATAGAAGAAGTAACTCAAACTGCAAACCATTGGGACCACTACTAAGCAAGTTTTTCATTGCCACCTACCCTGCACCCAATGTTAATCGACTGCCCCTGCAAAAAAATACTAAGCAACCTCCATGAGAACTCATGCCACGCATTGCCAGGCAGTTTTGCTGAACCTGAGTGAGCACTGACGATGCTAGGGTACCCACCAAAAACAAGCAATCGTGAAAACCCTGCAGCCGTCTACCCAAAACCCTAAACCCTGAGCCCCACTGAGACCTACACAGAATTAACAGAGACCACCGCAGCGTTCCTTTCTGTAACTCTAAGGTAATTCCTGCCTCGTCGGTGCCTTCTGGCAGGGCAGCTGCGATCTTTTCCTTGGAGACCTGTAGTCCATTGGGCATTTCTGAAAACATGTTGCGGCAGGGACTAGTTTGATAAACTTCCACTTGGGCATTCAGAGTTTGGAGTAATTTTGGCATTGCTGGCTTGGAGGGGTGGTTTGCTTCTGAAGCTGGTCAGCTTGTCCTACCTCTGGTTAACCAGGAATGAAGCAAAGACAAAGAAAATGATAACTACTACATTACTGCGGATTATAGAGGGGCTACTATGAAAAGTGGCTTCGGGGTGGCTGAGGTTTTCTTGAAAGGCAGATCTCTAATCTCCCGGCAAACCCTAGACCCGAAGCCATGCTTCATGCGGAACTGAGGATGTGGCCTTGCCATCTCACACGGAGGACTTTCATATAAAGACTGGAGGACTTTCATTCATTTAAAGAGGCAAACCATCGCTATGTTTGCCAGAGGACCTGGCAACAGAACAGAACATCATACTATTGTGCGCCTGGTAAGCATCTAAGGACTAAATTATACTTCTTAAGCTATTCAAATCCAGATCAACCGAGACTTCGTTGACAGGGAAGTAGCTTACCGTAAGATTTGGTGGCGTCGTTCCATCCCACTTAAATCCTGGACCCTTGCCCTTCCTGGCGCTAAACTTGACTTTGACACGCGCGCAGCTGAAATCAGTACCGAGGGCAGGACATCAAGGTCCACTATGTCGTTGGCGTCCACCACACCAGCAGCTTGGAGCGAGGCCACAACCTTCTGGGCCATGTCATCATCCAAGCCGGCAACTTTGTGTAAGTACCTTGCCATGGCCAAGCATTCATGGCATCAGTCAAAGATAGGTGTTGCGTGCAGGTTCCTAAGGGGAAGAGGTGCCGAACAATCTTACACAAGTCATCTGCGCTACAAAACACTGTCTACTTAAGCTTGCAGAGAAGTAAAGCACATATCTTTGCTGGACCACTATAGCCGACGCACTGCTGCCTTCCCAAACTATTCAAGAATCTCCCGCATAGGAAGCTCGAGTACAATTTTGGGGAACTCTGATTTTTCCGTATCCCTGAAGGACATCCTGAACCTACACCCAAAAAACACTTCAACTCCTGAAGTCCCCGCATCTGCGTCTGCAGGCACTTAGTTGTCAGGCTTCCGTAGTAAGACCGCGGGATAGACCTTGGGCCATCAGCCCCCATCGGAGCTTCTCACTGTTGGGGACCCCTTGTTAAGGAAGGGTTCAAAGTTTAGGCATCAGGGCTTCTCTCAAAACTATGGATCTTTGTAGTGAACCGCCAAATTCAGGGCCTTGCTTTTTGCGCGGGCGTGCCACAAGCAGTACTCCAAAAACCTCGGAAAACTTCCACCAACCACACCAATATACTAGTAGTTTCCATTTT